AGGGGAGCAACTGCATGGACAGCATTGAAAATGGATATTACGAGGATTGATATCTTTGGGATTTATATTTGCATAAGAAATAGCATTTGGAGACTCAGTGCCTCTCACAAGAGGAAGGAAAAGCAGGACTGCAGCAAGGTAATATGGCCTTCAGTGTGGGCATGTCGTTGTCACTCTGCAGTTGCAATCCCATGGATGACACTTTTAAATGCTGAAATAATCTATATGAATATTGTGGGATTAACACAATTTGTGGGATTATCAGAACTCAAAAACCACTGGACGAATTGACACCCAATTTGGACACAAGACACCTAACAACCCAATGTATGTCCTTCACTCCAAAAAATTGATTTTGTCATTTGGGAGTTGCTGGGATTTATAATTCACCTACAATCAAAGAGCATTCTGAACCCCACCAACGGTGGAATTGAAACAAACTTGGCACACAGTTCTCCCAAGACCAACAGAAAATACTGGAAGGGTTTTGGTGGGCAGTGCCCTTTGGTTTTGGAGTTGTAATTCACCTACATCCAGAGATCACTGTGGACTCAAACAATGACAGATCTGGACCAAACTCTACATGAAGACTCAATATGCCCAAATGGGAACACTGGTGGAGTTTGGGAGCAATAGAATCTTGACATTTGGGAGCTGTAGTTGCTGGGATTTATAGTTCACCTACAATCACAGAGCATACTGAACCCCATAAACGATAGAATTGGGCCAAACCTCTCACACACAACCCCCATGTGGGCCACAGCAATGCTTGGTAGGGGACAGCTAGTCTATTAATAAGTTCCTTTCCAGCTTATGCCATGCAATGATTTCCTATGTAAAAGTTCAATTCAAGGAAGAAAGAGTCTACCAAAACATTAAGGTGAAATTCCTGAGGATTAGAGCTGTTCAACAGTGGACTGTGCTGCTGGGTGGAGTACCTCCTGCTCTGAAGGTTTTGCACCAGAGACTGGATCACCATCCATTGGAAGTGCTTTGATGGTGTGTTCTTGCATGATCAAAGCAGTGCTGTAGAATTTGAAGAGGCACAAATGGAGGGCGAAAGAAAGAAATGTGCCAAGAGGAAGGCATGTCAAGCCAACCCCAACTGAGACTGCCTTGGAAACCAATGCCCTCACTGCGGGAGAACATGCAGATCAAGAATAGGGCTCCACAGTCACCTACAGACCCACCGCCAGGACACTGGTCTTGGAAGACTATCCTACTCGGACAAGGGATTGCCTAAAAGTAAGAAGTCTTAGGTAGTATAGTCTCTACTGGGCCCTCTTAACCAACACTGTTGTATGAACTTTGCCCTAGGTCAGATCGTCCTTCACTGTGACACCCAGGAACTTAAAACTGGCCACCCACTCCACTTGGTCTCCATTTATGACTAAAGGCTGGATTTCCGGTCTGTTCTTCCTATCGTCCACTATGAGCTCCTTGGTCTTGTTGATGTTAAGGACCAGGTTATTGTCCCTGCAACATGAGAGCAAATGTTCCATCTCATCCAAACAGGCAGATCAATTGCCTTCAGAGATAAGAAGCTCCACCACAACAAGTTAAACATGAGCCAACAATGTGATGTGGCGGCAAAAAAAGCCAATGGGATTTTGGCCTGTATCAATAGGAGCATAGGGTCTAGATCTAGGGAAGTCATACTCCCCATACTCTATTCTGCCTTAGTGAGACCACACCTGGAATATTGTGTCCAATTCTGGGCACCACAATTCAAGAGAGATATTGACAAGCTGGAATGTGTCCAGAGGAGGGAGACTCAAATGATCAAGGGTCTGGAGAACAAGCCCTATGATGAGTGGCTTAAGAAGCTGGGCATGTTTAGCCTGGAGAAGAGAAGGCTGAGAGGAGATATGATAGCCATGTATATGTGAGAGGAAGCCACAGGGAGGAGGGAGCAAGCTTATTTTCTGCTTCCCTGGAGACTAGGACGTGGAACAATGGCTTCAAACTACAGGAAAGGAGATTCCATCTGAGCATGAGGAAGAACTTCCTGACTGTGAGAGCCGTTCAGCAGTGGAACTCTCTGCCCCGGAGTGTGGTGGAGGCTCCTTCTTTGGAAGCTTTTAAACAGGGGCTGGATGACCATCTGTCAGGGGTGATTTGAATGCAATATTCCTGCTTCTTGGCAGGGGGTTGGACTAGATGGCCCATGAGGTCTCTTCCAACTCTTTGATTCTATGATTCTATGATTTGTATCATCTGTATATTTGGTAATGATATTGCTAGGGATACAATCATATGTGTACAAAGTGAAAAGCAGAGGACTCAACACACAACCCTGTGGCATCCCAGTGCTGAGAGTGAGAGCTGATGAGGTATAGTGATCTAATCTAACCCTCTGGGCATGTCCAGACGAGAAGGCTCTAATCCAGGAACAGATTGAATATGAGAATCCAAAATACACAAGTTTAGACTCAGTCTATGTGGAAGGATTGTGTTGAATGCAGAACTAAAGTCTGCAAAAAGCATCATCACATAGTTCCCCCATCATTACAGGTGGGTCAGAACAGTGTGGAGTGTGATGGCTATAACATCCTCTGCCGATCTGTTGGCCTGTTTTTTGCCAAGTGATGGCTATATACGACTGCCTGAGACAGAGCTATTTTCACAGTTCTCTAAAGGAAAACCGAATCCCAACTTTGATGCAAAGAGGCCCAGCCTTGTGAGATACTCTGGGGAAGGAACCGGCTGAGAGATCATCTCAAACTGTGCTGATAAGTGGTTAATAATTGCTTCCTGTGAACGACCCGGGAAACTCACCAGAGTAACCCAAATCACTTTGCTTGCAGCTTTCAATTTTGCCTGCTCCAGCAAAGCTCATTCATCATCTGTGCTCCCTTCAAACGTAAACAAGAAATCCTCCCCAGGTTGTCCAACTTGGGTGAAAAAGGTGGGGCAGGGGGAGGGAGGAGGAGGGGAGGTCTGGCCCACCTTCCCAATGTGCAATCGCCAGGGGAAGAGTGGATTTATTAAATCAAAGAGCCATTATTAACAACGCAGCTTAAATATCTATCTAAATGCAAATTAGTACAAGATAGAGAGTGGGTTTTTTATTCCCCCTTTTTTAGAAAAAAAAATCAGATAGTTCATGTGACAATCTCATAGTGTGGAGACATTTTCCTCTGCAGGGCTGACAAAAACACACTGTTAAGACAAGCACTGAGATGAAAGGCACAGGGTGCAACTTTGTGCACAGAGTGGGATGGACTTTTGTTTGGAAATCGTAACACCAACTTTTGTGCACACTAGTCCTGCATAATGTAATGTGCAGGCATATCATATGAACATGTAATGTGTATCCATGCACAATGGCAATAAATGTACAAGATCCCAAAATGTTTGCATGAGTGGCTGAGATTGCTTTCTGATCATTCAATTACAGAGACTTGGTTTCGTGCTTAAGGTATTGTATAAACATACCTTCAGGGTATGTATGTATATAAGATGCATGATATATATGTTACAGAATATCAGAGAATTTCATGTTTAGAATTGGGTCCTAGTTTCAAGATATGCATTATGTGCGCACATACACACTGTGCAGGTACAACTGCACCAGGAGCTCCAATTTTGTTTGCTTTGCATTTAATGTTTGTTATAGTTCTAAGTTTCAGGGACTCAGCAGATAGGTGGCTTCTTTGGCTGCAATCATAGGGCAACCTGTCAATTATAGTTAGGTTCCCTGGTCCTGCCCCCTTTTTGGGGTTTTGGAGGGAATAGGAGCCTTTTTGGTTCAGTCCACACAGAGCAGCTTTCCATGCAGGACATAATACCAAGAGCTCCTGTAGAAAGCTTCGTCTTCTATGGCTTGGCTGGGGAGATATACAGCCTATGGCTTGGCCGGGGAGATACAGCCCCACAGCTTGACCAAGGATCATACAGCCTTACAGCTCCTTTGTGGAGCTGTCAACCATCAATGAAACCTGAGTTCTTTCCCCCTGGAAGTCTACAAAGCTCTGCTTGGTAAGGGTCTCTTGCGGAAGCCAGAAGCAGTTGGTACCGGGTGCAGGGGCTCCACGCCAACAGAGGCAAAGGCAGGCTGCCCAGATTAGAAGTTAAGGATTTCCCCATTAGTTACAGTTATGAAGATAGTGCCTGTTCCCTGTGGACAATATTGAAAGAGCCTATAGACTGTTAAGAAAGCTTTAAAGTACCTGTTTGTTTTCCTTAATAAAGAACATTGTTGAACCTTTAAGCAATCTAAAGACTCTTTGTTTTAAGGAAATCCAAAGGCCTTTAATCTGAGGCAGCCCCGGCCTCCCATTGGGCACACAGAATTTATGTCCTGTCTACAGTCTGATGTACAGGCCCAGCATGCGACAGCATACACACAGACAATGTTTATCCTGCCTTTTCTCTCAATATAGGGACTCAAAGAGACTAAAAGCAACCAACTTTTGTGCACACTATTCCTGCACAATGTAATGTGCAGGCATATCATTAGATGTTCATATGAACATGTAATATGTATCCATGCACAATGGCAATAAATGTACAATTTTGAACCTGCAAACGAAAATAGTTGATGGCTGCTGCACTTGGATAAAAGTGTGCTATCACTTTCACAGGGAATGATACTCATGCATAACGCATCATCGGAATGGTAGTCAAGATGTAATTTAAATGATAGTTTTATGATTCAGCAGCCTTGCTTTATCTATATAGGTTGAGCACCCCTTATCTTGAATTGCAAAATCTGAAAGACTCCAAGATCCCAAAATGTCTGTATGAGTGGCTGAGATTGCTTTCTGATCATTCAATTACACAGACTTGGTTTCATGCTTAAGGTATTGTATAAACATACCTTCAGGGTATGCACGTATATAAGATGCATGTATATATGTTACAGAACATCAGAAAATGTCATGTTTAGAATCGGTACACCTTCATTTGCTCCATGTTACCCCACATTATCATCTCAACATCAGTTAAGCATGATTCACTTAAGATAAAACTAAAAACAACAACCTCACTGGACTTACACATCAGCGTCATCCCAGAGGATACAGGTCTGGTTGGTCGTTCCCTGCCAGAATGAAAAAGAATGAAAAAGAAAAGGACAAAATAAGATTACTGATGTTGAATAAAATGGCTTTGAGTTAAGTCTTAGTCCCAAATACCCAATTAATTCAAATAGTAGAGTAAACATGCAATGATGGGCAAGCACGAACTCTGCTATTGTTTTCTACACGTGGAGAGAAAGTAGAGGCGAAACACCTTTTGTTCAAGATGATTTTCCACCAGATTGGAATCCTGAAAAACAGCCTTAGTGCAAGTCGTGTCTTTCCACACATGTAGGTTCTCCTATGGAAATACTTGGACATTTTTGTTTGATGTGGCACACTTGGATTTAGTTCTAAATTGTGAAAATTGAACATGGCATGCACATTGCACATTGCATATAGGATATGCGTGCATGCTTGATCTAGTAATGGTGAAATCAGAAATAATGCATGTCTCTGTATGCAGTAGAGGTGTGCAATTCAGCCAAAAGACATGCTGTTTCGGGGTCCAATGTCAGCTGGCTCTTCATTTTGTTTACTAGGAAGTTACTCAAATCTGGAAGGGTGTTTCTGTTTTCTTCACAAAAATTCAGCCTATTGGCTACCATGAAAAATTTTAAAGGCTCAATCCTGTCATTTTAATGCCTATCTGCATGAAACCTACCTCAATTTTAGACCCCATTTACAACTGTAGGCCTGCCAAGTTTCAAAATAATTCACCAATCTACTTTTTTAGAATTATTTTAAGTTTTAACCATAATCTTTTTTCAAAAAAATAAGACTGTTCTGGTACAGCCGCACCAGGAGCTCCAGCTTATCTTGCTATTTGTTGATTACTGCATGTATTTTTAAGTTCTATGCCTTTGCAGTTAGATGGCTTTCCTTAATTTGCATTTATTGGATCTATGACCTGTCAATTATCATTAGGTTCTCTAGTCCCGCCCCCTTTTGGGTTTTGGAGGGAATAGGAGCCATTTTAGGTCAGCCCACACAGAGAAGTCTTTCATACAGGACATAAAACCAGGAGCTCCTGTAGACAGCTTCATCTTTTACAGCTTGGCCGGGGAGATATACAGCCTACAGCTTGGCCAGAGAGATACAGTCTCACCACAGCTCTTTTGCTGAGGATTTTACAGCCCTACAGCTCCTTTGCTGAGGGAATCCGGTTCCACGGTGCTTCAGCCAGCCATCACTGAAACCTGAACACCTTCTTTTCCCCTGGAAGTCTACAAAGGACTCTGTTTGGTAAGGGCCACTCGCGGCAGCCAGAAGCATTTGATACCGGGTTTAGGGGCTCCATGCCAACAGAGACAAAGACAGACTGCCCAGATTAGAAGTTAAGGATTTTCCCATTAGTCAAAATACAGTTATGAAGATAGTGCCTGTCCCTTGTGGATAAGATTGAGAGAGCCAATAGACTATTAAGAAAGCCTTGAAGTGCCTGTTTGATTTCAATAATAAAGAACTTTGTTGAACCTTTTAAGCAATCTAAAGACTCTATTTAAGGAAATCCAAAGGCCTTTAATCTGAGGCAGCCCCGGCATCCCCTTGGGCACACAGAATTTATGTCCTGTCTACAATCTTTTGTACAGGCCCAGCGTGCGACAGCACAAAGACAAACCACAAGAGAGGGTTCTGGGAATTGCAGTCGCCACTTGAGTCCATTCTCAGCCAATCAGAGCATGGACACAATCAGGGTTTTTATTGGCTGAGCAACAGAGAGAAAGAAAAACTTCAACTCCCATCATTCTCCGACAGGAACTCTGAGATTTTTCAATGCCCACTCTATGCAAGTGCTGCTGGGAAAGTGAGTTCCCAGTGGGCCACTGGGGCCCTTTCTGGAGGAGGAGCATAGGAAACTTTCCAAAAAGAAATGGAAGGATGCTGCTTCTGCTGGGGAGTGAGAAAAGTAAAGACACAGCAGATCCTCGCTCAGGTATGGAGACTTAACTCTTTCCTCTCCAGGAACCGATATAATCTGGCTCCCTTAATATGTTTTGCTGGGCTTTGCAGCTCCCTCCTCCCCATTCTGTTTTCGGATAATATACAAAATGGCCCACTGAATATTACAAATCACTGGGTTGTTGTGGGTTTTTTCGGGCTATATGGCCATGGTCTAGAGGCATTCTCTCCTGACGTTTCACCTGATCTATGGCAAGCATCCTCAGAGGTAGTGAAGTCTGTTGGAACTAGGAAAAAGGGTTTATATATCTGTGGAATGACCAGAGTGGGACAAAGGACTCTTGTCTGCTGGAGCTAGGTGTGAATGTTTCAAATGACCACCTTGATTAGCATATAATGGCCTGACAATGCCTGGGGCAATCTTTTGTTGAGAGGTGATTAGATGTCCCTGATTGTTTCCTCTCCATTGTTTTGCTGTTGTAATTTTAGAATTTAATTTTAATTTTCAATGGCTTGATTTCAATGGCTTTTCCTCTGTGTAGTCTGACATGGTGGTTGTGAGAGTGATCCAGCATTTCTGTGTTCTCAAATAAAATGATGTGTCCAGGTTGGTTCATCAGGTGCTCTGCTATGGCTGATTTTATTTGAGAACACAGAAATGCTGGACCACTCTCATAACCACCATGTCAGACAACACAGAGAAGCCATCGAAATCCACAAGCATGTGGACAATTTCAAGAGAAAGGAGAAAACCATGAAAATGAACAAAATCTGGCTACCAGTATTTAAAAACTCTAAAATTCAACAGCACAACAACAGAGAGGAAACAAACAAGGACATCTAATCACCTCTCAACAAAAGTTTGCTCTAGGCACTGTCAGGCCATTATATGCTAATCAAGGTGGTCAGTTGAAACATTCACACCTAGCTCCAGCAGACAAGAGTCCTTTGTCTCACCCTGGTCATTCCACAGATATATAAACCCTTTTTCCTAGTTCCAACAGACCTCACCACCTCTGAGGATGCTTGCCATAGATGCAGGCGAAACGTCAGGAGAGAATTTTTCAATTCGTTTCGATTTTTAGTTGCTACTGAATTTTTCAATTTGTTTCGTAATTGTTTCGAAATTGTTTCGAAATTGTTTCGTTATTATTTCCGCATGTCTGGTGCAAGTTTTATAGTTGTTGTTTGTTTTATCAGTGAAAAAATATATAATTATCACACCAACAGTCAACAACAGAGGGAGAGGGAAGCTTCAGAAGTTCCCCCTGTCCCATTTGGAGGTTTTTTTAGCGTATTGCGTGCTTGCGTCCGCCATTAACGAATTGATTCGTAATTGTTTTGTAATTTTCTAAATTTCGTAAATTTCGAACTTTTTTAAAGAAAAATTTCGGAATTCTTTTAAAAATCGAAACGCAAAACCCCCCTAAAAACGAATCGAGTTTAGAAACAAATTTTTCCGTGGTTGCCCAGCCCTACTACTGAACATTGTCTCCTTCCTTCTTTTCTTTTTTCTACAGAAAATATTTCATTCAAATTCAGGGTCATGTTGGATTACAAGTGCTTTCCATAGCCCCTGAAAAGGTGCAGGGATTTCTTTGTACATGATTTTCATTTTTTTTCCCCATGAATTTCTACATTTTCAAAAGCATATTAATGCACTCCACTTATCCTACAGATCCTAGTTCCATTTCCATTTCCTGAATGCCATGAGTGTCCAAAACAGAAACACATGGCACCCAGGAAGAGGAATATGAGCCACATCTGCGCAGTAAGTGAATTGGTGCTTGGAGGCAGCTGCAGCTCCAACCTGTGTCCATTCTGCCCAAGAAGAAGAAAGATACAAACTGGAATTTTATTTTTCATCTTGAGAAAAACTCAGTAGTGGGGCAGTTGGCACTTACATTGTACAGGTGGGAAAATTCAATTTCCATTGGTGTAAGGAGGGATCGAGGAGCTGGTTTCACCGTCACGGAAAGGACTCTAGAATTGAGCACTGTGGTGTTCCTAGACAGAAAGTAAAAGAAACACAAATTAAAGGCAAATTATAAAACTGTTATTGTTACACAGCTGAACTATTTTTTTTCTTGATGTATTGGTTTTTAGGCCTGTTCCTGGGAGCATTTGGAGCACTAATTCAGAAAATTGCATTGGATAGGCACCATTAGCTTCAGCTTTTTTAAAGATAGGGTTATCATGATTTTCTATGGATAAGCAAATGAATACTGGTATTGGCATATTTCTATATGTCAAAAACTAGAGCTGATAGTGAGAAACTGGTGCCATATTTGAATCAGCAGATCAGATATACTTAGAAAGAAGTCTAATATTTGAGGCACCAAAATGTGTGTTGGTTGTTGTTGCTGTTGATGTCATCATTACCTCCCTTTTCTCTAAGGACAGAGAATCATAGAATCAAAGAATCAAAGAGTTGGAAGAGACCTCATGGGCCATCCAGTCCAACCCCCTGCCAAGAAGCAGGAATATTGCATTCGAAGCACCCCTGACAGATGGTCATCCAGCCTCTGTTTAAAAGCTTCCAAAGAAGGAGCCTCCACCACACTCCGGGGCAGAGAGTTCCACTGCTGAACGACTCTCACAGTCAGGAAGTTCTTCCTCATGTTCAGATGGAATCTCCTCTCTTGTAGTTTGAAGCCATTGTTCCGTGTCCTAGTCTCCAGGGAAGCAGAAAACAAGCTTGCTCCCTCCTCCCTGTGGCTTCCTCTCACATATTTATCCATGGCTATCATATCTCCTCTCAGCCTTCTCTTCTTCAGGCTAAACATGCCCAGCTCCTTAAGCCGCTCCTCATAGGCTTGTTCTCCAGACCCTTGATCATTTTAGCTCCTCCTCTGGACACATTCCAGCTTGTCAATATCTCTCTTGAATTGTGGTGCCCAGAATTGGACACAATATTCCAGGTGTGGTCTAACAAAGCGGAATAGAGGGTGGGGAGCATGACTTCCCTAGATCTAGACTATGCTCCTATTGATGCAGGCCAAAATCCCATTGGCTTTTTTTGCCGCCACATCACATTGTTGGCTCATGTTTAACTTGTTGTCCACGAGGACTCCAAGATCTTTTTCACACGTACTGCTCTCAAGCCAGGCGTCCCCCATTCTGTATCTTTGCATTTCGAGACTCATAGTGTCTCATCATATACAACTTTAAAAAACTCACAAAATTTAAGTTAAACCCCTAAACATTTCCTAGTTTAAAACAGAGCTGCAAATCAAGCAGCCCTGCAGATATTGTTGGAGTGCAAATCCCAGCATTCCCTATCATTGACTATTCAGACTAAGGCTGCTGGGACATGCATTGCAACACTTCAACATTGCATGATTCCCAGCTCTGGTTTGAAAGTATTTTTTATCCCATATGGGCACATAAGGCCAGTGATGTTAAATCTATGGAGGGGCTTGTTCAGCACTTGGACAGTTCTTTTAGAGCAAGCATGGGCAAACTTCAGCCCTCCAGGTGTTTTGGACTTCAACTCCCACAATTACTAACATCCAACTGGGACTTGAAGTCCAAAATACCTGGAGGCAAAGTTTGTCCATGCCTGTTTTAGAGCCCCAGATAAACCCTGGAGCAGATTCACTGCCTCATAGACATGGGAGCTATTAGGCTTGGTTGATCCAAAATAAAAATGGTTCAAGACTCATTTCAGATGTATCAGACACTGGTGCTTCGATTCGGAACTGAATTCTGAATTCCCCTCCCCCCAAATGCAGAATTTTCCAAAATTTCTGAATCGCTTTATTAATGGCGGATGCGATTGCACAATTTATGGGATTTCTAGTGTTTTCTTAAGCAACTCACGGTAAACAAAGAAAAAAAGAAACAGCCCTGCCCTTTTTGCCATGGAAGATGATTTCACTACTTTGGGAAGGAGAGTTTGTGTTCAAAGAGTGGGTTAAATTGATGGGAGATCTAGTTCTTTTGAGGCAATGCGTAACACAAACTAAAAAACACTGAGGCCAGAGAGACCAGCTACAACCTTGGCTTTTAAAAATGTTGGAGTGAGTGCTTTGGTTCCTCCATGTTGCTCCCACCCATGCCACTCACACATACACACTACCTTCGTGGTGTCCACCCAACCCAAACCCCAACAACAACAACACACAAGCGGCAAGGCAGGCTGTACCCACTGCCCAGCCAGCCAGCCAGGCAACCAAGCACGGCTGGCAACAGCCCTTCTCCCAGCCCTTCTTCCTTTCTGCTCACCTTCCGTGCTCTTCTTCCAACCTCCCTTCAGCACAACCTCCCTTCCCTTAGTCTTTGTCCTTCCCCTTCTCCCTTCCCTTCCCGGCTCCGAATGACCCTCTGAGCCATGTGCTCCCCTTTATACACAGCAATGGCTGTCTGTTCAGAAACCCCTCCCCTCCCCAAGACTTCTCCCCTGATTGGCTGGGAGGGGAGGCAAGGGTGGAGGGCTGCAAATTTCTAATTCACTTCCTGAGTCGTAACAAAAATGGAGGAAGCTTTGGAAGGGCAAAGGGACTTCCAAGTTTTTAAAATGCTTCGATATCGCTTCAAAAAGGTAACTTTAATGAAATTATTACGAATAACGAGTAATCCGACGTGGCTCTATCCATGCCTAAGAGCTATCACAGCCTTTGGGCAAAAATGAGTAATTTAAAACACTACAACACAGGATTGTTGTAGCCATGTATGAGGAGCGATTTAAGGAGCTGGGCATGTTTAGCCTGAAGAAGAGAAGGCTGAGAGGAGATATGATAGCCATGTATAAATATGTGAGAGGAAGCCACAGGGAGGAGGGAGCAAGCTTGTTTTCTGCTTCCTTGGAGACTAGGACGCGGAACAATGGCTTCAAACTACAAGAGAGGAGATTCCATGTGAACACGAGGAAGAACTTCCTGACTGTGAGAGCCGTTCAGCAGTGGAACTCTCTGCCCCGGAGTGTGGTGGAGGCTCCTTCTTTGGAAGCTTTTAAACAGAGGTTGGATGGCCATCTGTCAGGGATGATTTGAATGCAATATTCCTGCTTCTTGGCAGGGGATTGGACTGTGTAGTGAACTCATACCTTTCTGATTAGGCCGCAGCCTTTAGAGACAGTGAGCCGACTCCATCTTAGTGAGGGAATGCAAGGAAAGTCAGTTCAGCAGAGGGGAGGTGTTTAGCTATGCCAGGATTGGCTAGGACAGATGGGAGGAGCTGGAGCTGTCAGTGAAAAGAGGCAGGCAGCATCTGTCAGAGAGAAGGGATTTAACATCATAGAAAGAAGAAGGGTTTTAAACAGTTGAGGGAAGAGGGTAGTTTTCGAGTGAGCAGATTTGAAAGGCAGGTGTGGCTATAGAGTGAACCTGTGAACTGGTGTGGGGGAAAAGCACACTGGTTGTTATACACTCTAAAAGTCAGGGTATTCTAGGAAAGCTAGATACGCTGTGGGGACAGATAGGTTTAGTCTGTCAGAGGGAATTTACTCACGTCGAAGAACAGATACCCAGTTGGGAAGTTCAGTAAGCTTGTCAGGACTGAGGAACTGTTCAAGAAGATTGTGCTGTGCTAACCATATACGCTTTTGTAACTCAAAGAAGAATCCAGTTGGTTGTTCCAATATATTTAAATAAACTTTGTTCTAGTTCAACTCTACATGATGTCCTCACATTGATTCATTCCATCAAGTCGGTTCCAGTAATCTCTAACATCTTTTGGCATCATACACTTTAAAGCGAGTTAAAGGAAGGGCTGAGGCACAACAAGCTTTACCTCACACATAACATCAAGTTAAATTCTCAAAATCTATTTGAGTGGTGGCAGTAATACCTCAATACACATCGAGCTTTGTGACAGGTGTCCAGTTGGAGCCTTAGAAAACAAAGACCTCTACTCCGTTCCTTCAAATTGGTACTAACGGCTGAACGGTCATTCAGTCCTGTTTACATTGGTGTCCAGCTGTGAGCAATATAACAGCCTAAGGAACATGAGTGTGTGTGTGCTAGGGAATATATTAGAAGTATTATTCCTTAGAGCTCAGGCTGATCGTTACAGACTGGATGGCCCATGAGGTCTCTTCCAACTCTATGATTCTATGATTGATGGGAGATGACATTGGTCCCACCAGACTATTACTCTCCATATTATAAAAAGAATGCTATAATAGATGCCTGCATAGCCAGATCCATGGATGCAGCCGAATATGGTATCTTCCAATCCAAAAGATATACGCACATTCAAGGCTAGCTGTGTTGGCTGCAGAACAAGTTATACAGGTTGTGTCTCCCTTATCTGAAATGCTTGGGATCAGAGAGTTTTCTACTCAGAAAACGTTTTGTTTCCAAAGGTGCATTTTCCATCCACTCAGAGTAATTATTTGCAATATTTCAGGATCATCAAATTCTGGGAGAATATTTCACCAGAAACCAATTTTTCAACTGTAGAAGAATACTGAGAAATATCGTTTCCATCCCTAGTGTGAGTAACCTGGAAGAGGATCCAGAATGCATGCCAGCACCAGCTGTGTCCTACTGCGTCTAACTTTGATGTCCCACTGATGCTGTTTTGCTAATGGAAACCCACAGCAGGCAGCCCCAAGGAGCATCACCCTTTTGCTTGCTCGTCTGCCGTCTGCAATTTCCATCCCAACCTCCCCGATCCTGTGGCTGCCAATTCTAAATCAGTAGGTGCTTAAAATGATAGCAGGCTGGGATGAAAGAAAGATGGGGCAGAATTTTCTGGGAAAATACTCTCCTGTTAATCAGTGCAGAACGGATTTCAGCGGTGCCAGGAGGCAGACTTAAAACTGCTGCCTCGATACCAAGCTCATCCTTGGAGGGAGGGAAAGTGCGATGTAGGATCACGGAAGAAATCTCAGCTGTTACCAACACAGATTGCTGTGCATTGCAAACCCCAAAACAGTCTGGAAAACACAGCGAGGCTGCTCAAGTAGGAAGCATTGGCACTCACAAAGCATCACAATAGGACAAGAGTCCCCTCTAGAGAGTAGGGGAGACTCACTCGGGAGATTATTACAAGGCACAGCTTCTTCAAACATGAGTGAAAGCGCAATTAAATTTGTTGGTAAACCAAAGGTTTACAGCTCGGAAAACTCACAGCAACCCAGGAATAGAGTATGTTATTTTCAGTTAACAGGGGTAGGGAAAGTTATAGGATGGGGGAAATATGGGAGTATTTTTGCATTTGATTGTTTTGTTTTATTCTGTCTTCTAATTTAGTGTCAATAATGTTATTGTTATTATTTTTGGATTTAAGTTACATTGCTTGAAAATAAAAAAGAAAGTCATATAGGAATTTTTAAAGAGCATTTTAAAATACTCTCAAATATTTTTCGCATTCCTACTGTATTCCTGATTTTTTGTGTGTGTGTGTGTGTGTATGCAAATACATATACATACTTGATCACTTATCACTCAAATGTTTCCCAATTTTGCATATAATATCTAGTCCTTAAATAAATTTTACTCTTGATCTTTTATGAATAACTAGCCGTCCCCTGCCACGTGTTGCTGTGTCGCACATGGAGGTTCTGTGTGGGAGGTTTGGCCCAATTCTATCGTTGGTGGGATTCAGAATGCTCTGTGATTGTAGCTGAAGTATAAATCCCAACAACTATAGTTCAAGGTTCTATTTTCCCCAGACTCCACCAGTGTTCACATTTGGGCATATTGAGTATTCGTGTAGAGTTTGGTCCAGATCCATCATTGTTTGAGTCCACAGTGATATCTGGATGTAGGTGAACTACAACTCCAAAACCAAAGGATACTGCCCACCAAACCCTTCCAGTATTTTCTGTTGGTCCTGGGAGAACTGTGTGCCAAGTTGGGTTCAATTCCATCCTGGTGGGGTTCAGAATGCTCTTTGACTGCACGTGAAACTATAAATACCAGCAACTACAATTCCCAAACGTCAAGGTCTATTCCCCCCAAACTCCATCTGTGTTCATATTTGGGCATATGGAATATTTGAGCCAAGTTTGGTCCAGATCCATCCTTGTTTGAGTTCACAGTGCTCTCTGGATGTAGGTGAACTACAACTCACAAACTCAAGGTCAATGCCCACCAAACCCTTCCAGTATTTTCTGTTGGTCACGGGAGAACTGTGTGCCAAGTTTGGTTCCATTTCATCCTTGGTGGGGTTCAGAATGAGCTTTGATTTTAGGTGAACTATAAATCCCAGTAACTATAACTTCCAAATGACAAAATCATAATTTTTTTGAATGATGGTCACTCCTTGTGTTGTGAGACGTTTTGTTGCCAAATTTGGTGTGATTTCATTCATTGGTTCTTTTGTTTTTAGGGTACCCATTATGCAAGAGCATTTTATATAGATAGATATAAACATGTACAAAAAAGATAGTAAAAAAAAGAAATATGGAATCAACGCAAAACATTGACTATATGTGAATCACTCTTGTTCAGATGGCATAAAAATTCAAAATGTGAAGCCAGCAGCTACATACCTGACATCAATAACTGTAGCACAAAATGCCTATACTAGAAACTGTGAAAGAAATAGTTGGTGTCCTGTAGTTTTATTTTAAAATCAATTTTAAATTTGATTTTTAAGATTGTTGTGGAATCTCTATCAGGCCTGGGCAAACCTTGGCCCTTCAGGTGTTTTGAACTTCAACTCCCACAATCCCTTACAGACTAACAGCAAGTCCAAAACACCTGGAGGACCCAAGTTTGCCCATGCCTGATCTCTATGATGTTTTTGCATAACCCCTCTGGGTTTGTCCATTTAACCAATTCCAGATCCACCTCACCGTAGTTTTGTCTAGCCCACATTGGACTGGTTTGTTTGCCAGAAGGTCGTGGGGGACTTTGTCGAAGGCCTTACTGAAATCCAGGTATGCCGTGGATGTAGCGTATCTGGATTTCAGGAAGGCCTTTGACAAGGTCCCTCATGACCTTCTGGCAAACAAACTAGTCCAATGTGGGCTAGGCAAAACTACGGTGAGGTGGATCTGGAATTGGTTAAATGGACAATCCCAGAGGGTGATTCTCCCCAAGGCTTCCTCTTCATCCTGGAAAGAAGTGACGAGTGGAGTGCCGCAGGGTTCCGTCCTGGGCCCGGTCCTGTTCAACATCTTATTAATGACTTAGATGAAGGGCTAGAAGGCAGGATCATCAAGTTTGCAGACGACACCAAATTGGGAGGGATAGCCAATACTCCAGAGGACAGGAGCAGGATTCAAAACGATCTTGACAGATTAGAGAGATGGGCCAAAACTAACAAAATGAAGTTCAACAGTGACAAATGCAAGATACTCCACTTTGGCAGGAAAAACAAATGCAAACATATAGAATGGGGGACAATGCCTGGCTCAAGAGCAGTACGTGTGAAAAAGATCTTGGAGTCCTCGTGGACAACAAGTTAAACATGAGCCAACAATGTGATGTGGCGGCAAAAAAAGCCAATGGGATTTTGGCCTGCATCAATAGGAGCATAGTGTCTAGGTCTAGGGAAGTCATGCTCCCCGTGCTCTATTCCGCTTTGGTTAGACCACACCTGGAATATTGTGTCCAATTCTGGGCACCACAATTCAAGAGAGATATTGACAAGCTGGAATGTGTCCAGAGGAGGGCGACTAAAATGATCAAGGGTCTGGAGAACAAGCCCTATGAGGAGCGGCTTAAGGAGCTGGGCATGTTTAGCCCTGAAGAAGAGAAGGCTGAGAGGAGATATGATAGCCATGTATAAATATGTGAGAGGAAGCCACAGGGAGGAGGGAGCAAGCTTGTTTTCTGCTTCCATGGAGATTAGGACAAGGAACAATGGCTTCAAACTACAAGAAAGGAGATTCCATCTGAACATGAGGAAGAACTTCCTGACTGTGAGAGCCGTTCAGCAGTGGAACTCTCTGCCCCAGAGTGTGGTGGAGGCTCCTTCTTTGGAAGCTTTTAAACAGAGGCTGGATGGCCATCTGTCGGGGGTGTTTTGAATGCAATATTCCTGCTTCTTGGCAGAATGGGATTGGACTGGATGGCCCATGAGGTCTCTTCCAACTCTTTGATTCTATGATTCTATGAACCCTAGGATTCCACAGAGCACTGTATGGAAACCACAGATCCAGGGTTATCAAAAACTCATTTCCAAAACCTATCCAGAACACACACTTCATCCTTACCTTTGGAGGGCAAGGATCCCACCCAGATTTCGGTACAGAACTGTCCCCACCACAAAGACGGCAGAGTCATCTGTCTCTGTAAAGAAATAAGAAGACAAGCAAGCAACATAATAAGGAAGGAAGGGAGGGGTATCAAAATGTTCTGGACAGGAGTAATCCCATCCCCTTTCCATTGGTACGCCCCTCTGCTTACCTGAAACCCCTGAGGAGAGGATGCTTTTAGACACCGTGACCTTGTCTTCGGCAGTTCGGGCCCAATCCACCATCCCTCGCCAGCCTTTCATAGGGAAGCTAATGTCTTTGGCTGCATTGGCAGGGAGCTTCTGAATGCTGAGGACTTGAGTGGAGAGAGAGAACAGAAGGAAATCAAGCCAACTCTCCCAAACCTTGTGCAAATTTAAGAGGTGAAGACCATTGGTAACTTATATGCAAAATTTAACATACCCGGAGAAGGGGTTAAATTGTTCTCATATAACCAAACATTCAACTCAGAGAAGGAGATGTTTTTTAAGAGTTAAGATAAGGGTCAAATTTCCACATATAACCCAACACTCAATGCAGAGAAAGAGATTGTTCTTTTTCTTTTTTATTAGCTTTAAGTACAGTATTCAATTGACTCGTAAGTAACTAACAAAATGAAGTTCAACAGTGACAAATGCAAGATACTCCACTTAGGCAGAAAAAAAAGAAATGCACAGATACAGAATGGGGACAGTGCCTGGCTCGAGAGCAGTACGTGTGAAAAAGATCTTGGAGTCCTCGTGGACAACAAGTTAAACATGAGCCAACAATGTGATGTGGCGGCAAAAAAAGCCAATGGGATTTTGGCCTGCATCAATAGGAGCTTAGTGTCTAGATCTAGGGAAGTCATGCTCCCCATGCTCTATTCTGCTCTGGTTAGACCACACCTGGAATATTGTGTCCAATTCTGGGCACCACAATTCAAGAGAGATATTGACAAGCTGGAATGTGTCCAGAGGGGGGCGACTAAAATGATCAAGGGTCTGGAGAACAAGCCCTATGAGGAGCGGCTTAAGGAGCTGGGCATGTTTAGCCTGAGTAGAAGAGAAGGCTGAGAGGAGATATGATAGCCATGTATAAATATGTGAGAGGAAGTCACAGGGAGGAGGGAGCAAGCTTGTTTTCTGCTTCCCTGGAGACTAGGACGGAACAATGGCTTCAAACTACAAGAGAGGAGATTCCATCTGAACATGAGGAAGAACTTCCTGACTGTGAGAGCCGTTCAGCAGTGGAACTCTCTGCCCGAGTGTGGTGGAGGCTCCTTCTTTGGAAGCTTTTAAACAGAGGCTGGATGGCCATCTGTCAGGGGTGATTTGAATGCAATATTCCTGCTTCTTGGCAGAATGGGGTTGGACTGGATGGCCCATGAAGGTCTCTTCCAACTCTTTGATTCTATGATTCTATGATTCTAAGTCAATTCAGGGTTTTTTGGCTTCTTTTCTTTTACCAGTCTTATTCCTGAGTGTACATAGTAAGTCCTTAGTAAAAGGCTGGCTATTGTTTTCTTGAAGTGGTTAGTTACACATATAGTGCTGTTGCGCATAAGGACACATACTCTGTTCCTTATTCAGCTGTGCATTCAATTCTACAAGGACTACATAACGCAATGAATGCAAAATGTAGGATCTTGGCCATTATCATCAACTGCAGTAACCATTAGGAATGTGCAAATCAGGAGAAGACAAACCCATTGTTCCAACAGACAGAGTATACAGAGATTCTGTTCTTCTATGTGGAACTCTGTGTATTCCATTGTTACTCTTTGTCTTTTATTCAACTGAATGTTTTTCTTCCATTGTCTATTTTCATAACCATACATTTTGAATTTTCCTAAATGCATTTCTCAAGCACATGCTGTTTTCGCCCATAGATTTCTTTGTTTTCTGTATTTTAGAAAAGTAGAGATACTGGGAAAAATGGAAGGATAAAGGAAAAGGGGCCCACCAAGGACAAAATGGATGGATGGTATCCTTGAAGTGACTCGATTGACCTTGAAGGAGCTGGGGGGTGGTCACAGCCAGTAGGGAGCTCCAGTGTGGGCTGGTTCATGAGGTCAAGAAGAGTCTGAAGCAACTGAATGAATAAACAACAACAACAGGGATTCCCAACTGCAAATTAATTTTGCATCTGGGAGGTGCAAATTGATGAAAGGTCTAGTCCAGTGGTTCTCAACGTGTGGGTCACCAGGTGTTTGGGCTTAAAACTCCCAGAAATCTCAGCCAGTTTACCAGCTGTTAGGATTTCTGGGAGTTGAAGGCCAAAACATCTGGGGACCCACAGGTTGAGAACCACTGGTCTAGTCAACATGAAATGGAACTTTATCACCCATTCCCATCAAAAATAATAGATCTACTGTTAGGTCTCCATAGGTGTCCTTTCACTGTCAGCAATGTAAGTATCCATACACACTACAGTGTTAAGGAATTCGGGTCTTCAGAGTTTGTGATAAAATTTTGGGAATTGCAGGGGTCATTACGCCATTAGAAGCCATATCTTTAATAGGGTCTCCAGATCTCATGACCAGACTGCTATTTTCAAGCCTTTCAAGTGAGGAGGAGGAATTTCAGGATGAGAGCCCTACCTTGAAAAGTGTATGCAATACATGTACAATTGGCCAGCCTGTTTGAGTGCTAATTTTTAATGAATTTGTTCATGCATTTCATATAAGTCTGTTAGAGTGACTCCATGACCAACTTCTAGTGGAGGCTGACCATAAAACATTACTCTGGAGGACCCAGAAATTCTCAGGACTTTTTTTTGTACACAAAAACGTTGACTTTTTGTGGGTTCCCCCCCCCCCCCAATTTTGTATTGGATGAAGATCTTGTGTTGCAGCATAAAGGTTCCACAGGTGCAACCTCACACACTCTCTTAAGTTCACCATTCCGTTCCGTTTCTATGCCATCTTCCATGGCCATTAGTGGCAGCGGATCTGAGAATGGTCTACCTATTTCCCTATAGACAGATGCAAATTGATGATGTTTGAGTAGATGATTCTGTACTGATCGGCAGATGGCGATGGGCCAGATGCTTCTCCAACCATCCCTGCACTGAGTGCTCATGATATTGAAGTGATGTGTGTGTTCTTTAGTCATTGCAGAGGGAGGAATTGAATACCAGCCTCAAGAGCACAATTCCACTTCTATCATGAAAAACTGGATATTGATTTGCCCAACTCCTTCCAATGAGGATTTACACAAGCTTAAGACATCAACAGGTTTCTGGCTCTGTTGTGTTAAATATTGCCTCCTTAATGCCAAAAAAGTGGTTTCTAAGTGAGTGGTACATAATGCTGTCTAATACAGAGATTGGGGCATTTACATTTGTGACTCTAATGCTCAGCATCCCTATTGACTCTCCTGGCTGAGGGGGTTCTGGGATTTTGTCAAAGAAAGAACAAAACTGGGTTGTTGTAGGTTTTTCCGGGCTATATGGCCATGTTCTAGAGGCATTTTCTCCTGACGTTTCACCTGCATCTATGGCAAGCATCCTCAGACCTCACTACCTCTGAGGATGCTTGCCATAGATGCAGCGAAACGTCAGGAGAAAATGCCTCTAGACCATGGCCATATAGCCCGGAAAACCTACAACAACCCAGTGATTCCGGCCATGAAAGCCTTCGACAATACAAAGAACAAAACACTGAAGTTTTGACATAATAGAGTAACAGTGCATCTTATGTCAAATAAGAATAGTGGTTATAGCTGTTCGTCCCACCAGCTCAATAGACATCTTGAGCAATGATCAATCTTATTTGTCCCCGAGGAACTGGGAAACTGACACTTCTGTTTGATGTTTTATTTCATGTCTGATATGATAGGTTGTGTTTTTCATTTCATATTAGTTCTTAAGTTATAATTTGCTTTATATGCTGGGCTTTATATGCAGATGACACGATTCTGATGGCCGAAAGCGAGGAGGAGCTGAGGAGCCTTCTAATCAAGGTGAAAGAAGAAAGCACAAAAGCTGGGTTGCAGTTAAACATCAAAAAAACCAAGATTATGGCAACAAGAATGATTGACAACTGGGAAATAGAGGGAGAAAACGTGGAGGCAGTGACAGACTTTGTATTTCTAGGTGCAAAGATTACTGCAGATGCAGACTGTGGCCAGGAAATCAGAAGACGCTTACTTCTTGGGAGGAGAGCATTTTCCAATCTTGATAAAATAGTAAAGAGTAGAGACATCAGACTGGCAACAAAGATCCATTGCCTAGTCAAAGCCATGGTCTTCCCTGTAGTAACCTACGGATGTGAGAGCTGGACCTTAGGGAAGGCTGAGCGAAGGAAGATCGATGCTTTTGAGCTGTGGTGTTGGAGGAAAGTGCTGAGAGTGCCTTGGACTGCGAGAAGATCCAACCAGTCCATCCTCCAGGAAATAAAGCCCGACTGCTCATTGGAGGGAAGGATACTAGAGACAAAGTTGAAGTACTTTGGCCACATCATGAGGAGACAGCAAAGCCTAGAGAAGACAATTATGCTGGGGAAAGTGGAAGGTAAAAGGAAGAGGGGCCGACCAAGGGCAAGATGGATGGATAGCATCCTTGAAGTGACTGGACTGACCTTGAAGGAGCTGGGGGTGGTGACGGCTGACAGGGAGCTCTGGCGTGGGCTGGTCCATGAGGTCACGAAGAGTCGGAGACGACTGAACGAATGAACAACAACATGCTGGGTTGTCAATTTTCATTCTTATGGGTATATTGTTATTATGTTCAGGCATTGAATGTTTGCTTTTTGGAATCTGCCCTGAGGTCCTTTGGGGAGATAGGGCAGAATAATAATAATAATAATAATAATAATAATAATAATAATAATAATTTACTATTATTATTAATAATAATTGTATTTAGCTACTCCAGGGGTAAGGAATCTTTAGCCCTACATGGCCCCACCAGCATTGGGCAGGGACCTGCTCTAAACGTAGGCAATTTCACCATATTTTTGGACACATCTCTTGGTCATTTTTATCATGAAAGAAGTGAAAAGAAGGCTTACTTCCTTGTTTTCCTAAATGCTTTCCTTGTGTATAAAATCTTTGAAATTGTAGAGGCAATAGAAGGGAAGTAAGTTAGACTTTTCTCATTTTGAACAGAAAAAAATGGGGGTCAAGCAAAGTTCTTGGCAAGCATCTGCTCCCTGATCCATTTTATTGGAGATGCTGCGGATGGAGTGCTCTGTATGCAAAGCACACGCTCTGCTCAGTTTCCCTGAGCCGTGCCACTCTCCAGACTAGAATTGCCTGCTTCTTGATTTTTAGTTAATTTTTAGTTTAGTGAAATGAAAAGATCCTAAACGTCAAATCATATGTTTACCTTTAGTCTTAACATAAAGAAAATATAAAATGGAACCAGCTCAGCATTTCTTTTTCCTCTGCAAAATGAGCCACATAAACAGCATACTTTCTTCGTGGATGAACATTCCCCTTCCTGCAGTGATAACTCCACTAACAAGAAAAATTGTGCTTTCATCGGCTGGCTTCCTTTAGACTGTGTACCAGCTACAAGAAGTAGCCACTGAGGACTTTATGACAAAAGGAAGTCAAGAACTGAGGATTGATCCAATCTTCTCACCCAGATTTTCAGTCACTTGATAGGAATCCTGGAAATCTTTCATACGGAAGCCAATGACGTCAATGAAGTCTTCGACCAGTCTAAACAGTTCCTTGGCATTTGGTCCCATCTGCAAAAAGATACATTGTTTAATTCAACTACAGCCTGCCTCAGGGGAGCGTGCTTGCTCCATCCATGTTCAACATCTACACAAATGACCAGCCACTGCCAGAAGGGACAGAGAGTTTCCTCTATGCTGATGATTGTGCCATTACTGCTCAAGCAGGGAGCTTTGAGATGGTAGAACAGAAGCTCTCCGAAGCTCTAGGTGCTCTTACTGCCTATTACAGGGAAAACCAGCTGATCCCCAACCCATCTAAAACACAGACATGTGCCTTTCATCTCAAGAACAGAGAAGCATCCCGAGCTCTGAAGATCACCTGGAAAGGAATCCCACTGGAGCATTGCAGCGCACCCAAATACCTGGGAGTCACTCTGGACCGTGCTCTGACCTACAAGAAGCACTGCCTGAACATCAAGCAAAAAGTGGGCGCTAGAAACAACATCATACGAAAGCTGACTGGCACAACCTGGGGATCACAACCAGACACAGTGAAGACATCTGCCCTTGCGCTATGCTACTCTGCTGCTGAGTATGCATGCCCAGTGTGGAACACATCTCACCACACTAAAACAGTGGATGTGGCTCTTAATGAGACATGCCGCATTATCACGGGGTGTCTGCGCCCTACACCACTGGAGAAATTACACTGCACCACCTGACATCCGCCGGGAAGTAGCAGCCAATAGTGAAAGGACCAAGGCAGTGACATCTCCAGCTCATCCTCTGTTTGGGTATCAGCCAGCATGTCAATGACTTAAATCTAGAAATAGTTTTCTAAGATCTACAGAGACACTCGCTGGAACACCTCAGCAAGCGAGAGTCCAAAAGTGGCAGGCTCAAACCCAGAACCTCAACCAATGGCTGATACCAAATGAGAGACTCCCCCCCTGGGCACACAGAGAACTGGGCGACTTGGAAGGCACTGAACAGACTGCGCTCTGGCACCACGAGATGCAGAGCCAACCTTCAGAAATGGGACTACAAAGTGGAAACCTTGATATGCGAATATGGAGAGGAGCAAACCACTGACCACCTGCTGCAATGCAACCTGAGCCTGGTCACATGCACAATGGAGGACCTTCTTGCGGCAACACCAGAGGCACTCCAAGTGGCCAGATACTGGTCAAAGGACATTTAATCAACTACCAAACTCACAAATGCTGTATTTTATCTGTTTGTTTGCTTTGTTCTGTTAGAAATGTAATATAATTGACTGGTTGATCTGACACAACAAATAAATAAATAATAAATAATAAATAAATTCAACTACAAGTCTCTTTGACAATTGCTGGAAACCCAAGGCTGATAAGTTTCACATTGGACATCTTCTTGCGTTTTATACACAGACAAATGGTTGTAGGCACATAGGCTTAGAGAAAACCCTGGTAGGAGACATGATAGCTCTTCAAAATGCCACCAAACCAATCAACTTGGGCTGGGAAAAATCTGGGAAATGCTCTCCCCCCTCCCACACACACACTTTCACACATGCACAACTTTCCCGTTAGAAATACATGGTTCACCTACCAGTTGAGCCTCTTCCCACTTGTCCCGGTTGTCTTCAGACAGTATGTTGCTAATTACCTGCACAAAGTTCTAGGAAAAGAAGATGGTAGAGAAAGCTGTGATTCCATCTAAGGATTGTTTTCATCCTATAGACACCAGGTCTCAGGAATGAAATGTGTTCACGCTCAGGGTGTGTTCTTGCTTCCTTAATCTGCCATTTGATTAATTCTTGCATGGGAGTGATAGGCCATCTAACTACTTAGACCACACCTGGAATATTGTGTCCAATTCTGGGCACCACAATTCAAGAGAGATATTGACAAGCTGGAATGTGTCCAGATGAGGGTGACTAAAATGATCAAGGGTCTGGAGAACAAGCCCTATGAGGTGGCTTAAGGAGCTGGGCATGTTTAGCCTGAAGAAGAGAAGGCTGAGAGGAGATATGATAGCCATGTATAAATATGTGAGAGGAAGCCACAGGGAGGAGGGAGCAAGCTTGTTTTCTGCTTCCTTGGAGACTAGGACGCAGAACAATGGCTTCAAACTACAAGGAAGGAGATTCCATCTGAACATGAGGAAGAACTTCCTGACTGTGAGAGCTGTTCAGCAGTGGAACTCTCTGCCCCGGAGTGTGGTGGAGGCTCCTTCTTTGGAAGCTTTTAAACAGGGGCTGGATGGCCATCTGTCAGGGGTGATTTGAATGCAATATTCCTGTTTCTTGGCAGAATGGGGTTGGACTGGATGGCCCATGAGGTCTCTTCCAACTCTTTGATTCTATGATTCTATGATTCTACTTCAAGGTCAGTGGTTCTCAACCTGGGGTCCCCAGATGTTTTTTGGCCTTCAACTCCCAGAAATCCTAACAGCTGGTAAACTGGCTGGGATTTCTGGGAGTTGTAGGCCAGAATCATCTGGGGACCCCAGGTTGAGGACCACTGTTCTAGGTTCTAAATAGATTCAGGTTTTAGAGTCCGCTAACCAATTTGGACTACCTGACCAGTAGCACAGCCAGGAAGTGAAAAGAATGGTCACTAGATTAAAAAGAAGCAAATGCCCTGCCTACTGTTGGAAACTCAGATTAACAGAAACTGGAAGGATTAAGGGAAGGGAAACAAAGATAGAAAGAATCATAGAATCCTAGAATTAGAAGAAACCTTGTGGACCATGCAATCCAACCCCCTGCCAAGAACCAGGGAAGTCACATTCAGAGCACCATAGTCTGGATGCTAAGCCCCAATTAAGAAAATTTAAGGAGACTGGATATGTACAACCTGACGAAGAGACTCAAGGGGAAATGATATTGGAAGGACTGTCGGATAGTCAAGCCGCTGTGATGTGGAGTACCAGGTTTCTTCTCATAATGTGCTAGAGTTTAATGTTATATTTTCTTCAGTTAAACTGGTGTCTTTTCATAGAATCATAGAATCAAAGAGTTGGAAGAGACCTCATGGGCCATCCAGTCCAACCCCATTCTGCCAAGAAGCAGGAAAATTGCATTCAAAGCACCCCTGACATATGGCCATCCAGCCTCTTTTTAAAAGCTTCCAAAGAAGGAGCCTCCACCACACTCCGGGGCAGAGAGTTCCACTGCTGAACGGCTCTCACAGTCAGGAAGTTCTTCCTCATGTTCAGATGGAATCTCCTCTCTTGTAGTTTGAAGCCATTGTTCCATTGCGTCCTAGTCTGCAAGGAAGCAGAAAACAAGCTTGCTCCCTCCTCCCTGTGGCTTCCTCTCACATATTTATACATGGCTATCATATCTCCTCTCAGCCTTCTCTTCTTCAGGCTAAACATGCCCAGCTCCTTAAGCGCTCCTCATAGGGCTTGTTCTCCAGACCCTTGATCATTTTAGTCGCTCTCCTCTGGACACATTCCAGCTTGTCAATATCAGTCCATGGTTTGTACTAGTGGTTTCACTAGTCCAGCTTACTTACCAGACAAGATGGTACGTAAGTCAAGGTGTTCAGCAGGGAAACGGGCTGTCTCAGAGGATTGAAAACCTTCATTGGAAGCTTCAATAAAGTTTGGAAGGCACTGGTGGGGGATCAGGTGAGACAGCCCTTCATGATTTCAGTTGTGTACCAGTTATGTATCTATGCTTACAAAAAATCTCACAGATCTATCCTACTGGCATTTCTTTTATACCAATAACTTCTATGGGATTCATAGAATCATAGAATCAAAGAGTTGGAAGAGACCTCATGGGCCATCCAGTCCAACCCCATTCTGCCAAGAAGCAGGAATATTGCATTCAAATCACCCCTGACAGATGGCCATCCAACCTCTGTTTAAAAGCTTCCAAAGAAGGCGCCTCCACCACACTCCGGGGCAGAGAGTTCCACTGCTGAACGGCTCTCACAGTCAGGAAGTTCTTCCTCATGTTCAGATGGAATCTCCTTTCTTGTAGTTGGAAGAGACCTCATGGGCCATCCAGTCTGACCCCATTCTGCCAAGAAGCAGGAATATTGCATTTAAATCACCCCTGACAGATGGCCATCCAATCTCTGTTTAAAAGCTTCCAAAGAAGGAGCCCCCTTCCACTGCTGAACAGCTCTCACAGTCAGGAAGTTCTTCCTCAGGTGTAATGTGAGCTATTGGCTGCCACCTGGGACAACAGGGAATCTAAACTTCAGGAAGAAGTTCAAGATGATGTGAGCCTTTGAGCCTTTTGATAGTGTCTGCTCTTTCAGGACCCTTCCACACTGCTATATAATCCAGATTATCAAATCAGATAATCCACATTCTCTGCTTTGAACTGGAATATATGAATCTACACTGCCATATAATCCAGTTCAAAGCTGATAATCTGGATTTCATATGACAGTGTAGATGGGACCTTAGAGTGTTGTGGAGTCTCCTTCTCTGGAGGCTTTTATACATAGGCTGGATGACTATTTCCCAGGAGTGCATGGAGTGTGACTTCCTGCCCGATCAGGAAAGGCTAGACTTGGAGTCTCTTCCAACTCTACAATTCTATGACTAGATGGTCCTTCTTTCTGAATTTAAGCCACCATGTTACAAAGCCAAGGCTTGCTCTGGTGCTGAAGAGAAATGCTGAAGAATCCAATCTCTGTTGCCCAACCATGAGTGACTAGGAAAGAGGTGGAAAGGAAGGACAGTTTTATTTCAAAGCCACTGATTTTCTTTCCAACTAGAAGGCTAGCAATATATTGCAAGGCAAGGCAAAGTAAGAGGACACATTTAGCATTTTAAGGAATGCAACCTTAAAAACTGCATGCCTTCCTCAAAGGACAGATCCATAATGGCACTGCAACTGCAGAGAAAGGATGCCTTTGGCATTCTACTGTTCTACCAAGTCAACTCCAAGACTCTTTCCTTAACCATGACAGAAATGTCAACACACTCCACACCCCAAATCAATCCCTTTTCTGCATCCAATATTTTCATTTAAAAGATCTCTGCTTTCAGGCATTGCCTTCTTAAAGGAATGGTTCATTCAAGAGATCCAGGGAAAAAGTCACTACTATCATTACCAGTGAGGGTGAAGCTGGCGAAGCACTTTATCATTGCATTTGCTATTGGAATAAACTATTTTCTCTGGAAAGTGATTGTGCAAAGAGATCCTTTCAATTCTACAAAAAGGGGTTATGCCTTGTTATAGTACCTGGAAGCTCTTCATGGGATAGAGCTCAATTTCATAGAATCAAAGAGTTAGAAGAGACCTCATGGGCCATCCAGTCCAACCCCATTCTGCCAAGAAGCAGGAATATTGCATTCAAATCACCCCTGACAGATGGCCATCCAGCCTCTGTTTAAAAGCTTCCAAAGAAGGAGCCTTCACCACACTCCAGGGCAGAGAGTTCCACTGCTGAACGGCTCTCACAATCAGGAAGTTCTTCCTCATGTTCAGATGGAATTTCCTTTCTTGTAGTTTGAAGCCATTGCTCCTTGTCCTAATCTTCATGGAAGCAGTAAACAAGCTTGCTCCCTCGTCCTTGTGGCTTCCTCTCACATATTTATACATGGCTATCATGTCTCCTCTCACCTTTCTCTTCTTCAGGCTAAACATGCCCAGCTCCTTAAGCCACTCCTCATAGGGCTTGTTCTCCAGACCCTTTATCATTTTAGTCGCCCTCCTCTGGACACATTCCAGCTTGTCATTTTTACATCATTTTGGGGCTATATTTGGTTGATTGGGGTTCATACCTTGGTGGGTTTTTTTATTTCAACAATATCAACAAAATCACTTAAGAAGATAACAAATACAGTGACCAAATTCAGTATTTGATTAATACAAGCAATCCCTCCACGTCTGCTGTTTTGACATTTGCAGATTTGATTATATATGGATTTAATTAAAATCATATCTCTAAATCCATGGTTCCCAACCTTTGGATTTCAGCTCCCACAATTCCTAACAGCTGGTGTGCTAGATGGGATTTTTGGGAGTTAAAGTCCAAAATACCCAGAGGACTAAAGGTAGGACTTTGGTCATCATCCTCTAAGTCATGTTGAAGCACCTAGAAATGTCAAGCGGGATTACTTTGTCATGAACTTTTATGTTTTCCAGTACAATTCTATAGTCAACTTCCAGCAGAAATCAACTGCAAAGCCATGCTTGGAGACCTACGCATTTCCTAGAAACGTGTTCTCTTGGGTTAAAAAAATAGCAATTTCTTTATTTGCAGTTTTTTCACTTTCACAAACCCTGAGCCCCTAACCCCAACAAATTTGTCACTCAACAGTGACAAATGCAAGATACTCCACTTTGGCAGGAAAAACGAAATGCAAAGATACAGAATGGGGGACAATGCCCTGGCTCGAGAGCAGTACGTGTGAAAAAGATCTTGGAGTCCTCGTGGACAACAAGTTAAACATGAGCCAACAATGTGATGTGGCGGCAAAAAAAGCCAATGGGATTTTGGCCTGCATCAATAGGAGCATAGTGTCTAGATCTAAGGAAGTAATGCTACCCCTCTATTCCGCTTGATTAGACCACATCTGGAATATTGTGTCCAATTCTGGGCACCACAATTCAAGAGAGATATTGACAAGCTGGAATGTGTACAGAGGAGGGCGACTAAAATGATCAAGGGTCTGGAGAACAAGCCCTATGAGGAGCGGCTTAAGGAGCTGGGCATGTTTAGCCTGAAGAAGAGAAGGCTGAGAAGGAGATATGATAGCCATGTATAAATATGTGAGAGGAAGCCACAGGGAGGAGGGAGCAAGCTTGTTTTCTGCTTCCCTGGAGACTAGGACGCGGAACAATGGCTTCAAACTACAAGAAAGGAGATTCCATCTGAACATGAGGAAGAACTTCCTGACTGTGAGAGCCATTCAGCAGTGGAACTCTCTGCCCCGGAGTGTGGTGGAGGCTCCTTCTTTGGAAGCTTTTAAGCAGAGGCTGGATGGCCATCTGTCGGGGTGATTTGAATGCAATATTCCTGCTTCTTGGCAGGGGGTTGGACTGGATGGCCCATGAGGTCTCTTCCAACTCTTTGATCCTATGATTCTATGATTCTATGAAATGTGGAAGGCTGGTTGTATCGACTAAAAACTATTTACCTCTACACTTAGTATTAATTATGACACATAGACATTATAGAGAATATCTTTCCATATGTCCTGATATCATGAAGGAAGTGAGAACTTTCACAAGTCAGAATTAATATATTCATTAAGGGTAGATTAGTTTTCAGGAAATGGAACTTGTTGTAACCAGACATTTTTTTTCCACATTATCCTCAAGGTATCTCATATTCATCTCCACTAGGTCTCCATTGAGAATTTCTCTGTTTTTCAATACTAGCAATTTCCAATCTTATAATAGTAAGTAAAAAAACTATCAGATAATTATTGTTTATTAATTGTGTAATGTGTTAGGTTGTTTTTTACACTGTAGCATTGAATTTTTGCTGTTCTTATTTGTTGTGAACCGCCATGAGTTGCCTTCGGGCTGAGAACAGCGGTATATAAGTAAATAAATAAATAAATAAATAAATAAATATATTTCAAAACGTTATTCCCAGACAAAGTTGATAAACTAAAGAAGGTTGGTAATGGCAGATGTTTTTTAGAATTTAGTGTCTTATAGTGTTTGAAGAAATTGAGATAGCTAGAATTTCAAACTCAAGAAGACCAGGTAATATTCAAAGTTCAAAAATCTCGCTGGAGTTCTGAGAAGAAGAATGTAGGAAGCATCATTATTTTTGCTGTGATTTCCCCCCACCCACCCAACAGACCAACAGCTGAGTATCTCACCCACTAGCTCACCTGAACATCACTGGGGTTTGGACTATAATAGGCCCTGCGGAAGATCTCGGTCATGTTCCTGAGTACATCAAAGGTTGAAAGAAGATCCCCACTGTAGCTGGTTCCATCCTGAGAGATCTCAACCAGGTTTTGCAAGACCTCTGATATCCCGTCTCCTATCAGACCCCTCTGGGCTTTTGACAGATGCTCCCTTGTCTAGCAAGAGAACAAAAAAAGACACCACATCAGAATAAATATCAAAATATTAACCTGTAAGCATCTCTAAATCTTGAAAGAAAGAACAGATCATGTAAACACTTGGGACCACCTGGAGAATGACGCTCTTTGATAGCCTCTTCAAACAGGCTGGGCTAAAGGCACTATGCACTGGAATGCACAGATGGTTAGAGATGGGGCTATTTAAGGATGGTCCATCCTTCCACATGTCTCTTTAGCTTTGGTTTATGACTTGTCCCCCCAACTTTGCTGGTTGCTTGAGGGTCCAATAGGAAATTCCTCCTCTTTATCTGATTTTGTTTGCCTTTCCCATATTATATCTGGGGGACTCTGATGATTAATTATGGGTGGTGTCTATAAATAGGTTTCCCCTGCAGGCATCAGAGGGAGAATATAAAAGTTGAGTGTATACCTTGGCACTGTTTGGGGCGACCTGTGACCTGGAGTCTGCGAAAGAGCCAGCCCTTGGGGCTAACTTGGAGGGTTTTCTCCCTTTTATGAAGTTCTGGGACTTGGGAGAGAGTGTCTTAGGTTTGCCTTCCAGTAGCACTTGATTACTTTTGGGAGTCCGGTGTATTGCCCAAGGAAAGGATGAGAAGGTAGCCATAAGTTAACATGGTCTATCTGGATCTGCTTTTTGCTCATCCTCCTGCACCCCAATCTGATCTCAATAGATGCATCCATGGCAGCAATACAGGCATGATCCATTTCCTTCCCCTGCTCCAGTCAGCACAAGGAAAGGGCGATAGAGATGCATGTATGAACTTTGTATGTATGTGCAGGTTTTGTGGTTGAAATTGACGCAATCCACTAATCCAGACACCGCAAAGCCTTGAAATATTCCAGAATTTCCTACAAACTCTAGAGCAGTGTTTCTCAACCTGGGGGTCAGGACCCCTGGCGGGGTCACAAGGGGGCATCAGAGGGGTCACCAAAGATCATCAGAAAACACATTATTTCTGTTGCTCATGGGGGTTCTGTGTGCCAAGTTTGGTTCAATTCTGTCATTGGTGGGGTTCAGAAGGCTCTTTGATTGTAGGTGAACTATAAATTCCAGCAACTGCAACTCCGAAATGTCAAGTCTCATTTCCTCGAACTCCATCAGTGTTCACATTTGGGCATAATGAGGATCTGTGCCAAGTTTGGTCCAGATCCATCATTGTTTGAGTCCACAGTGCTCTCTGGATGTAGGTGAACTACAACTCCCAAACTCAAGGTCAATGCCCACCAAACCCTTCAAGTATTTTCTATTGGTCATGGGAGTTCTGTGTGCCAGGTTTGGTTCAATTCCATAGTTGGTGGAGTTAAGAATGCTTTTGATTGTAGATGAACTATAAATCCCAGCAACTATAACTTCCAAATGACAAAATCAACCCCATCAGTATTCAAATTTGGGCATATTGGGTATTTGTGCCAAATTTGGTCCAGTGAATGAAAACACATCCTGCATACTGGATATTTACATTCCGATTCATAACAGGAGGAAAATTACAGCTATGAAGTAGCAACAAAATTGATGTTATGGTTGGGGGTCACCACAAAACAAGGAACTGTATTTAGGGGTCACAGCATTAGGAAGGTTGAGAAACACTGCTCTAGAATATCTCCCAACTTTTCTTGTATGGGGGAAAGATGGATTGAGGGCAGCACTTGATCTGGGCTATTTTTATTGTTGTTTACTAGTGTAGACAACAATAATCTAGGTCTACATTATCCATCTAGTTACCAATATTCAATGACCCTGAACTGGAGAACACTCATTCCAAGAGCACTTCTAATACTCTCTTTCCATTTTAACTGCTGTGTTTGTAGCCTATAGAATCCTGGTGTCTGCATTTTAAATTTTGAATTTTCAGTCAGGGACTTCTGGTTCCTCACTAAACAATTTCAAAAGGATATATTCATGGTAGGAATTATAATGCTGCACTTGTGGATTGCGAAAGGGTTCCCAGTCTAGATTTGGCAAATCTCTGATTCAGATTCAACACTCACCATCATCTGTATGTTCCTGTAGTCAATGGAAACACATTTGACGTATGTTGGAATTGTCCAATAGGCAATGCCTTCTTCATCTAGCAAACACCTCCGCAAGATCAGTCCTGTGAAAAAGCAGAAAGAGCATAACCAGGAACAATATATTCAGAGTGGTGAAACAAAGGTTTCCTTATTATTATTATTATTATTATTATTATTATTATTATTATTATTATTATTGCAAGCAAGGCAGAATTCAAAACGATCTTGACAGATTAGAGAGATGGGCCAAAACTAACAAAATGAAGTTCAACAGTGACAAATGCAAGATATTCCACTTTGGCAGGAAAAACGAAATGCAAAGATAAAGAATGGGGGACAATGCCTGGCAGGAGGCAGTACGTGTGAAAAAGATCTTGGAGTCCTCGTGGACAACAAGTTAAACATGAGCCAACAATGTGATGTGGCGGCAAAAAAACGCCAATGGGATTTTGGCCTGCATCAAGAGGAGCCTAGTGTCTAGATCTAGGGAAGTCCTGCTACCCATGCTCTATTCCGCTTGGTTAGACCACACCTGGAATATTGTGTCCAATTCTGGGCACCACAATTCAAGAGAGATATTGACAAGCTGGAATGTGTCCAGAGGAGGGCGACTACAATGATCAAGGGTCTGGAGAACAAGCCCTATGAGGAGCAGCTTAAGGAGCTGGGCATGTTTAGCCTGAAGAAGAGAAGGCTGAGAGGAGATATGATAGCCATGTATAAATATGTGAGAGGAAGCCACAGGGAGGAGGGAGCAAGCTTGTTTTCTGCTTCCTTGGAGACTAGGACGCGGAACAATGGCTTCAAACTACAAGAGAGGAGATTCCATCTGAACATTAGGAAGAACTTCCTGACTGTGAGAGCCGTTCAGCAGTGGAACTCTCTGCCCCGGAGTGTGGTGGAGGCTCCTTCTTTGGAAGCTTTTAAACAGAGGCTGGATGGCCATCTGTCAGGGGTGCTTTGAATGCAATATTCCTGCTTCTTGGCAGAATGGGGTTGGACTGGATGGCCCATGAGGTCTCTTCCAACTCTTTGATTCTATGATTCTATGATTCTATGAATGCTAAATGTTTCCCAAATGGCAAATCTCAGGACTCCTAAACAGAAATAATTCAAGTGATATTAAACCAATGTGTTTGTGTAAAACCAATAATCTCAAATGTAGTGGTTGCTCTTTCAGTGGACAATATCTGCATAGCTGTACATTTGTGTTTTCCCCACCTTGGACCTCAGAAAAAAAATGACAGTCCACTGATTATAGGTGGACACTAGGCTTGGGCGGTTTCGTTCGTTAATTTCATAATTCGTTATTAATTCGTATTTAAATTAGCTTACGATCCAATATTGAGCCATGCAGGAATAGTGTGAGGAGTAAATTAGATTCAAAACAATTTTTTCAATTTATTTCGTAATTATTTCTTAATTATTTTCGTAATATAATATATATAATATATATATATAATAATATAATATATAATAATATAATATAAATAATATAATATATATAATATTATAATATTATATAATAATATATAATATAATAATATAATAATAATATAATATAATATAATATAATATAATATAATAATATAATATATAATATAATATAATATATATAATAATATAATAATAATATAATATAATTATACAATAATATAATATAATATAATATAATATAATATAATATAATATAATATAATATAGTTGTTGTTTGTTTTATCACACCAACAGTCAACAACAGAGGGAGAGGGAAGCTTCAGAAGTTCCTCCTGTCCCTTTTGGAGGTTTTTTTAGCATATTGCGCAATCTCGTCTGCCATTAACAAATCGATTCGTAATTTTACGAAATTTCATAAATTTCAAAAAATTTTAAAGGAAAATTTTATTTTAAAAAAAACGAAACGCAAGGGCCCCCTAAAAACGAAACGAGTTTAGAACCAAATTTTTCCGTGGTTACCCAAGCCTACTGAGTACGCATGCCAAAACGAAACGAGTTTAGAAACAAATTTTTCCATTGTTACCCAAGCCTAGTGGACACACATCACTTGCTCCAGAACCACATGGGAGAATCTCAAACCAGGAGGAAAATATCCAGCAGCAGCAATGCCAGCTTCCTTAGAAACCAAATAGCAGCTATTCATCACCTTATCAAGACCTGAACAGTGTATCCTCCATTATCCTTGTCTCTTTTAATTTGGACTGATGTGTTGCTTTGGCAGCTCCTTTATGTTGTGGAAACCTGCCTTTCCCAAAGGGTTGGAATACACGAGTTAAAATTGTGCTGGTGGAACAAGAGAATCTATGTGGCCACTTTGCTGCCTTCTCTCCCAACGTGCCCTTGGAGTGGACCCAAGCTTTCTTCATCAAGAGCTTCTAGAGGTCAGTTTCCATTAGGTTCACACAGCTAGCCTTCCCATTTGAAGCCACTTTGGCAATTCATCTTCACACACGGTTCCTTTAGGCCAGCTGCTCTCCTGGCACCTCTTCCAAGCTTAGATGTCCAGTGAAGACAGCACCTGCCGTTCTGACATAAAGAGGCCAAAAGAGTCCAGTTGGAATCCTTGTTGAAACCCCGGGAACCAAAATGTACTCGTCTGGTTTTCTTCTGGAACAAAGAACCTAATGATCGATTCTTTCGCATGGTTTTGAAATTGTTGCCAATGAGCTACTGTATGTTTTTAACAGTTTGAATTTTGTATTGAGTGAGCACCGGTAATATTGATCCAGCCCTTGGCTGACTTCCACAAGAGCCAGGAGTTATGGACCCCTTAAATATTTCCTTCTGGAATTGAAACAGCATAATTACACAGGTTGGCTGCGAAGTTTGCCATACAAAAATATTTTGAACAGAATAAAGGAGATTGCCCAATGGAAAACTGTCCTAACTTTAACATTTAAAATCTCTATATATCTAAAACTGTGAATATTAGTGTTTTGGCAATGAGATACCATGACAGCTTTTTCAGAACAAACTCTACATATTGGCACGCCAGAAAAAGTTTACCATAGAATCACCTGGAGGACCTAACAAATGCCTAGAGAGGCTGTGTCTTCCTCCCCCAGGCAGAGATAAGTGCAACCATGGATATAGGTTACACTGTTACAGGGATCTTGTCATAGTTCCCCCTTTTATGTTGGCTGTACTATAGTTCATTATTTTGTATTAGATAAATCATTTGTATTTGACAGATTAAAGAGATGAATGGCCAAAACTAACAAAATGAAGTTCAACAGTGACAAATGCAAGATACTCCACTTAGGCAGAAAAAAAGAAATGCAAAGATACAAAATGGGGACAATGCCTGGTTCAAGAGCAGTACGTGTCAAAAAGATCTTGGAGTCCTCATGGACAACAAGTTAAACATGAGCCAACAATGTGATGTGGCGGCAAAAAAAGCCAATGGGATTTTGGCCTGCATCAATAGGAGCATAGTGTCTAGATCTAGGGAAGTAATGCTCCCCATGCTCTATTCTGCTTTGGTTAGACCACACCTGGAATATTGTGTCCAATTCTGGGCACCACAATTCAAGAGAGATATTGACAAGCTGGAATGTGTCCAGAGGAGGGCGACTAAAATGATCAAGGTCTGGAGAACAAGCCCTATGAGGAGCGGCTTAAGGAGCTGGGCATGTTTAGCCTGAAGAAGAGAAGGCTGAGAGGAGATATGATAGCCATGTATAAATATGTGAGAGGAAGCCACAGGGAGGAGGGAGCAAGCTTGTTTTCTCCTTCCCTGGAGACTAGGATGCGGAACAATGGCTTCAAACTACAAGAGAGGAGATTCCATCTGAACATGAGGAAGAACTTCCTGACTGTGAGAGCCGTTCAGCAGTGGAACTCTCTGCCCCGGAGTGTGGTGGAGGCTCCTTCTTTGGAAGCTTTTAAACAGAGGCTGGATGGACATCTGTCAGGGGTGATTTGAATGCAATATTCCTGCTTCTTGGCAGAATGGGGTTGGACTGGATGGCCCATGAGGTCTCTTCCAACTCTTTAATTCTATGATTTGCAGAGACATGTGTTCTGTTGCACTATATCTCTGAGATTCCAGAAATGGACAATGTATATGGACCTTGCAGGCTTTTATTATCTAGCAGACCATAAATCTTTCAGATATATGAATCTATCCAGGGCCTGGGGTCTTTAGCAAACGTTCTTTTCTAGGTCCCATCATGGTCACAAGCATGGTTGGTGATGATGCAAAAAGAGGTTTGAATGCATATTGGTGACTGCTCATATGTGGTCAAAATCCACTGAGGCATGGCAGTTCAAGTGGCATCTAACTGGATTAGTTATGCAGTGTAGATGCACTCTAAGTATAAATGTGTCTATGGAATATCTTTCTTTAGATGCTAAAACTGACTTTACATCATGGTGGAGAAAGGTTTGGTGCAGATGATGGTTACACCTCTTGCTTTCCATGAAGCAATATGGACACAAAGGCAAGACAAGGATGAAAACTTTTGTTTCCATTGCCAGAAACAAAAGCATTTGTTTGTAGGAGAATAGTACTCTATTTTGGCCTCTCTCTTGGCTTTCCTTCAAAAGATAAGGAAACAGAATCAAGGTCACTGCTTCTTACCTGTGGCATTACGGGGACATCGGACGGCTGCAGCATCTCCAGCAGGGGTCTCCTTCCAGATCACAGAAGCAAAGCTATCTTCATCACAGATTTCATGGGGCTCTGTAAATCAAAATGGAAAGTTAGATTAGGAAAAGAG